AAAAAACGGCCGTTTTTGCCAAAAAATGACTGTTTGCGCCAAAAAAATGGCCGTTTGTCCCAAAAAAATGACCGTTTGTGCCATAGTTATCATGGTCATTGTGACCGCGTTACCGACAGACAGACAGACAGACAGACAGACGGACAGACAGACAGACACAGGTGAATTTCGGTTTCTAGACCCTATCCTTTCAGTCTAGGGAATATATTTTAAGCATTATTCGCGAAGTACTCGAACAATTTCAAACCACGTAAAACGGTTTGGGAAAGCGCCGGAAATCATCGTATTCGACAGAACCAACCACCGGAATCATAAAGAAATTAAAAATTAATTAATTAGGACAACAATTATTAATAACAGTCCTTACCTGTTAAGGTATATTCAAATCTGAACAAACATACATAAAATATAACAACGAGCTTTACGGAGGCACCCTACCCTTAAAACGCCGAAACTTTAGGCGTTAATGTATTGGTGTTTGTTGGGTATAGCTGTGGGTGAGGGTGTGAGTGTATTTGGGTGGCAAATGTGTGGGGTATTGGTTTGATATATAAGTATGGTATATTGTTATCGTGTATGAGCTTGGTGGTGAGCGTGCGTATGTGGGAAGGCGAGGGGGGGGGGGGGGGGGNTTATAATCTCATGATTAAAAATTCTTTAAAAGATATTCTTGAAGATTTTAAAACCAATTGATTAACTTATTAGGTGCATCAAGCGTATGGTACAAAAACGAAGAGAAAAACCACACCCCACCCTTATTTATAAAAATTACAAAAACTGCATAAAAACATAAATATGCAATTTAAAAATATGACAAAAGACAAGGAAATTATTTTATTAGAATTTCATCGTTAAAATGATCTAAAATAAATAATTTAAATCAAAAGAAAACCTACATCTATTTAACCGAATCGATTAGATTAGAAGTCAAGTGAATGTTTTTAGCAGATCAGTACTACTACATAGAAGATGTGTTTTCAATTCTAAAAGGTAGTATCTAAATTTAAACGTATTTAGTCGTTTAAATATTTATTTAAATTCATAAAGTTCTCGTTATAAAAACTATTTGCATAATTGACACCTAAAACTATGCTCTTATACAATCGTACAAGATCTTACTAGATTCTGATCATCAGATCTTTGCATATCAGTTGAAGAGCTAATGGAAGAACATGGTGAAACAAATAGCAAAGAAGTAAAAGTATTGACTTAACGAGACTACATTTGATAATCTTGATGTATCAGAAGCATCAGTCGGCAATGAATGGTTAAAATATTATAGAAGAATTATACAGAAGATAGAGAACAGTTTATGACACTTTTTTAGGAATATTATATAATTGCACGAATTTGCATTCGATTTTAGTATATGCAAGGCTAATAGTTAGAATTGTTGTGAATACGATGAATTCAATCTGGCTGTGCTAATTTAGCACAGTGATGAGAGAGATTTTTGAAGAATTTCTCGGAAATCCTTGCGACAGCGGTCCACTAGTCTTATCTATTCTAGAGATGTGGCACGGTAGCGGCAGAAATCAAACCGCGATGGACATCTGTGATTCGAGTCCACACTCTATTATTCGAATAAAACAGACATTCTAAAAGTGAAAACTATATTTTTCACTCTGATCAAATCTGAATTTTTTACTGGTATCAAATGTATTGTTGACTGCTAATTATATATTAATAAATTGACCATTTTAAAATGAATACTGATAATATAAGTATTAAGCATTCAATCTGTATACCTATCCTTTTTATATTTTTTACTGACCACTTAAATCTAGTGACTTGTATGGAAGTTAACCAAATGTTCCACTAATAAATCAAATTGAACACAAGAGGTTTTGTTGAATTGTAAGTTTTATTCTTTGGTATTTCTTGTACAAAATTATATGTTTTCAAAATTTGATTGGTATCTCTTCGAGGCCCATGAGAAGAAATTACGGTGAACCTTAATTCTGACTTTTCCCACCTTTGTAAAGCCCTGAGGACAGGTGATTCGAGCTTAGAGAATGCATCAATTTGTACAATGAATATCAAAGAATACAACTCATCATTCAAAAAAAAACTTCTAGTATTCAACCTAATTTATCGGTATGCAATTTAGAGAGCTTTCGAATATTACTAAAAATGACTCCAATACAGGTCTCTAGTTAAATCACAGCCTTAGTTTAATATAAAATGAGTCTTAGAAAACATGCTTTAACAGAAAAGAATTCTATAGACATTCAGAATCAGCTTGAATTTCAATTAGGTAGAGAAAAAAAAATAGTTTCAGAACATTCTTTTGCCTTGACATATCGCAGTCGAATATCAAAGGTTTCTAAAAATCTTACATCGGTCCTTTTTTTCATAACAAATTTCAATTCATTGATGTTTAAGTTCAAATTTTTCATGCAATGTAAAAAACAATATGACGCATTTTACTTTCCAAGTATTACTGCAGATTGTTTCTGAAACTAGTCGTGTTTTAACATTTTATTTGTTGTTAAAGTCAACATAGAGGACAATAGATTAAGAACGTTCGTCTGAGTTATGACGTTCTTTTAATCTACTTATAATAAATTTATTATGAAAATTTGTGAATTAAAATAAAATGTAAACAAGTTCTTTATTTTATCAATAGAAACTTCGATGCATATTATTTAGAAAAAAAAAAGAGAAAAATCACTAAACTTTACATATTGTCTTATTTACAGACAAAGATAATTAAAATTTTCATTCATAAAAAAGAAAAATCAACCGTTAACAATCGAAAATGAAGACAAGATGGAAAGCACCGTATGAATTAGTTAAAGAAAAGAAAAAAAAAGGAAAGAATTTCACAACTTAAGTCGGCATCAATTTTTGTCCGCCGGTTGCTGTTGTATGTGGAACTTTATTTGATGATATATGATGAGGTGATCCAGTTGCTCTAACTATTTTTTGTCTTGTTGTACCTGTCGATGTTAAATTTCCTTGTGAATGATAATTAATTATTGTCTGTTTATTATTTGGATAAAATTTTAATGGTGGTGATGGTTGTTGAACATCAAGTGTTCCACCACCACCAGTACTTTTTGATGATCTACTACTGCATGAGCTAACACGTGAATTTAGGCCAGAATTTTTTATGAATAATCCAATTGCTTTTACTGTTACTGATGGAGCTAGAAAAGAAAAAAAAAATGCATTGTCAATAATTTTCTTTTTTCATATGTTAATAACATTCCATAATATAAATTGAAAGGCTTTTCTTTTTTGTTTGATGCAATTTTGTCCTTTACTTGAGTATTTCAATTTGAGAGAACAAAAAAAACAAACGTAGACAAAGAAGGACATTCGATAAATTTACAACAATATAAAGAAAAAAAAGCAGGGATGAGGTGAATGATACACAGAAAAAAGCAAAGCATAGGAATAATACCTAATTATTACGAGTGTTTAAAGTTTCATCAGTACTTAGACGAAAAAGACATGACGAAGCCGACACTGCACAGGGGATATTATAATCAACGATAAAATGAATCGAAAAAAAAACTTTAAAGAACTTACCAGGATTATATCGTACTGGTGAATTTTGTTGACTTTTTTTCGAATGTTCAAAATGTGATGTTCGACTAGGATTTTTTGATGCACGAGAACCATATGGATCATGTGGTAAATGAAAACCATTTTGATTAGCATGATCAAGTGTTGAATTTGGTAAACTACGTGCTTTAGCTTTTTGTTGTTGTAGTTGTTGTTGTTGTTGTTGTTGTAGTATTAAAATATTTCCTCGTTGTGTAGTTACAGAAGGTTTTATAGGTGCAAGACTATTTGCATTTATGACTCGTCGTGTACCAACATGTTCAGTAGTTGAATCACCATGAGTACCAGCAGCTGAACTTTTTCTTAACACAA